TGGACAGCAGAACACTGCATCTCCCTGCTGCACAGCCTCCTCTAGACAATTTTCTGTGAGCAGAGAAATGTATTTCTTAGCGGTGCTATTGCACGTTTTTACTTCAACTTTTAATGAATTAATGAAGCCAACTAATCAGAAGAAACTTCATGAACGATTTCAGCTGGATATGTCCTAGAAATCTAATGAAAGCCCCAAGAGTTTGTCCCTGTTCCTTCTGTCTTCTCTTCCAGGAAGAAAGCTATGCACATGGGTGTTTGGCAATTAAGAGTATCACCTGAGTGTCCTCATATGTTCAGTCTTTTGAGGGTCACACTTGTTCTTAAGTTCAAATTTAGTGACCCGATGCTCTCACTTGTGTAACAGTAGGACACACTGTCCATGCCCAAGCCTTTCTCAGTTTCCCTGGGTGGTGTCTCCATGGTCTGCCCACTTCCTGGGGCCCTGTCCAGGCTGCTGTCTTGGTCCTCTCTTAGCATCTCGGATATGACTCTGCAGGGTGCTGTCCTCCCCTGGACATTTCCCTTAGTGTGACTGCACCTTCCCCCTTCTTCTCCAGCCAGCTCAGGACTGCCTCTAGGCGGCAGGGGTTAGCACACCTCCCTGGAGGCTGGAGGACATCACAAAGTAACCAGCATGCAGAAGAGGAACATTAAAACCTGTACCAGATGTTACTCCTCCTAGGGCCCCTGGCTTACCCAATGCTTCTGGGGCCCCCTTCCCTCCTAGAAACCTGGCCAGTCGACTTTACACATGATGTTGAAGGCAAGGAACGTGATCTGCTCACCCTGTTCTGCACGCTCTTGAGCGCCCCCTCTCTCCCCTAGCCGTGTCCCATCTCCCCCTCCGAGGCTGTGGTGCCAGAGCACAGGCCTGCTGCCTGAAGTTGCTTCCTTCCAAGAAGGCCCTTTCAGAATCCTGCTCAAGACACATGATTGGCATGAGCTTTATTTTCTCCCCTTAATACATATTAAACTTTTTATTTTAAAAAGTATCATAAATTATAATTGATTTCTTTGGGGTTTAAAGTTAGATAATTTTGAACACTTTTATAATCAGAGGAAGACAACATAAAATATTTTAAGATTAACCATCACCAGGTTTCTCAAAGCTTTCTGGGATCCATCCATAGCCAATCCCTGCAACTTCCCCTGTTTTTCTTTTATCCTCTTTCCCTTCCAGAGTCTGACAGAACTCTCTACTTAGCAGCAATAAGGGCAGGAAAAGTCCCTTGGTGCATCTAAAGTGCCTTACAATATGCAAATGTGTGCTGATTTGTCTCATCTCCCCAGTAAGTGCATGTTCCAGGTGGACTGCAAACCCAGTATATCAAGTTCGGGCAGGACAGGGTCCACGCCCAGTTGCATAGACGTCCCATCGCGCTCTCCGCCTACGCGCACGGTTGCAGGCGACCACGTGTCCCGCTGGCCTCTCTTTGCTCTTTATCTTTTTACTCTCCTTCTCTCAAGCCCACGCTTCACCTTTCATGCTCACGTTGTGGTTAGGGAGAACTTGGCAATAGTCTGCTAACATCTAGACGAATACACTGAACTATTTTCCTCTAAAATAGCTGACAGGATGAAAAGGAAATGAAAGTTTGTTTCCGTGATTAAGGCAAAGGAGTTGGGTTGAGCGGCTCGAGTTCCCAGGGTCATTTCCCCGTGAAGGAAGTGGCGCTCTGGAAGGGGACATCTGTGGACAAGAGAGGAGCTGATTCAACTGTCCTTGATTTTTAAAAATTAAGCAGAACATTTGATGGGAAGATCAAATGTTTTCTATAAAGAACTAACTTACCCTTTAGATGTGAGGTTGACCAATATCATAGGTTTTATGAGCGCTTTTTCCTTCTGAAGAGTTTAGATGGTAAGTTCGGATGAATGAAGCTGCGCTAGCTGTGTAGCTGCGTGTGTGTCATGTTGTGCGGGGCAGGGCGTGGGGAGCTCTGAAGCACAAAATATCGGTGGATTCAGCCTGTGCTGCCAAACAAGAGCCACCGTGCAATAGTCAGCACACCTGCAGGGAATTAATTCCAGTTCCCCATGTGTCATGGGAGAGAAAGTGCGAGCTAAGTCTATATCATATGTTTTGGAAAAGTTCCAGACACCAGCCTGGAGTGAGAAATTTGGATTTTGCAGTTAGTAATGTTTTAAAGGGTTATGTTACCTTCGTTTCATAAAACAGAATGAAAGCCTTTTTTGGGGCCTATTTTAAAGGATATCTTGAGGGAGTCCCTTTTGCAGGCATTCACTGAGGGTGACACAAGCAAGTAGAAATATCTTTCTTTGGATCAGATGGTCTGTTAGAGACAAACCCAGTTTGACATGGTACAAAGGCAAGTTGCTTAAATGCGGACATAAAAAGCCTTAGTATAAGGGAATCTGCAGGGAAGAGGCTTACAAGCTCTGTGGATATCTGAAATTTGCATGTGTAATATTGAGCGCTGGTGCAGAGCTTTGTCAGCTTCTTGATTAAGTGCATAGCCCAGAAAAGCTTAGGATGTGCCCATTGTCTTCCACCAATGTAAATCCAGGGCAGGTTAGAAAAACAAATGTAAACCATAGAACTGTCAAGAGCCAAAAATATAAACAGAAGAAATTACAGGTGGATCTTAACTGATACTGAATCACAAGAGGACTTTGCAAGGACAAAAAGAACAGGAGGATTCACAAAAGCAAAGATTGATAAGTTTAATATTCAAAACTGGAACTCCTTTCATACCAGAAAAATATAATAAAATTAAAGGACAAATGAGGGAAATGTCTACAATAAATTACTGGAAAGGGGTAAATAGTCTCAATCTAATAAGAAAAACTCTTACAAATGAGGAAGAAAAACTCTCTCTCAAATAGGGAAAAACAGGCAAACGACAGGAGCAGACAATTCACAAAACGAATATCGTTAATTTTAGCTGTACACTGGAGCTACACATACGCTGGAGGCTCACGCCAGCCAATTCTCTGCTTCTCATTCAGTGACATCGTGTTAATAGCTTGAAATTGGCCAGGTGGGAGTTTTCACAGTAGAGAAATGATGCACAATTTTTTTTTAGACAGTTGATTTACCAGCACACCATTGGTCAATAGACATATCAAAAGAAGTTCTAGAGTACCAGTAATCAAAGAAATAAAAAAAGAAATATACTCTGGACAAGATAAAATGAGCACATTTCACCCTATTTCTCCTGCAAATTACCACAAAAAGTTTGGAGAAAATTTATAAAGCAATTGACAGAGACTCTGAAAGTTTGAGAAAAGTAAATGGACTGGCTAAGGACCTCAGAACTCAGGGACCCACCCGACAGGGAGTTTTTGTTTTCTGTTTCTGCCTCTTTATATCCTGACCTGGGCTCTGGAGAGGTGCCTAATCTGCAGATGCCTGGCCAGATGGCACCAGACCAAGAAAAGCTCAAGGAAAGCCTCTGCCTCTAGCCAACAGACTTCAAGGGGGTGACACAGTACGAGAGAAACATTTTGACCACACCTGACTCCACTCCAGCTCCAGGCAAACACCAGACAAGGCCATGCTCCTCCCCCTCCCCACCCTGCATTCGGGAGGTGACAGAACCACGCTCTCCATCCCTCGTTGCTGTAAGAGGCTGTGCCACTTCCCTGGAACAGAGACTGTGGGCAGAACCTTGCAGTGGCTTTCTCATCACCCTGGAGGCCAGAAGGAAGTAGGATAACATTTTTCAAATGTTGAAAGAAGACATATTCAACCCAGAATTCTATATCCAGCGAAAATATCTTTCAGGAATAAAGGTGAAATAGACATTTTCAGATGAAGGAAAACTAAGAGACTTTGTCACCGTCAGACCTGCTAAAGAAAGTTTTTCAGGTAGAGAGGAAATGATAACAGAAAGAAACTTGGTGCAGCAGGAGTGAAGAAAGAATGCACATATATTGTAAACTTTGGAGAAGCACTTTCAATCAAGGATGATTTTCTCCCCAAAAGGACATTTGATAATGTGTAGAGACATGATTTTACACATGCAACTGCTGTACAGTTGGTAGAAACTGAGATGCTGCTAAACATTCTGTGATACACAGGACAGTCCATACAACAGAGTTACCTCACCCAAAATGTCAGTGATGCTGGAGGGTGGGAAATCCTGCCCTAAAGCACGCCCTCACCCAAAGCATGCCCGTTAGTATCCCTAAAGTCACCACTTCTGTTTTATAATAGCAAAAATTAGAGCTATCCAAGCATGTCCACTAATTGGCAAGTGCTTAAAAAAGTATTCTATATACACATATTATGCTACTGTTAAAATAACACTCTCAAGAATTTTTAATGCCATGGTAAATGGGAATGATGTTAAGGCAAAAAAGAAGTATATAAAGCAATATATATATAGAATAATCTAAATAATGTTTAAAGACACATTAAATGTACAATGAGAAGAAAGTGTAACAATGATAGCTGTGAGAAATGGAACAAAATGTAATGATCTTTTTTTCGCTTGTCTTTACTTCTGCTCCCTTCAAGTTTCCTACTGTGAAAAAATGATGTCATGTTCACAGTGCAAGCAAACAGAAGCAGTTACTGCCAGAAACAGCTTAAAAATGAGATGATGCACATAAAGTATCTACTACAATGCTGTGCCTGCCATGGAGGAACTCCATAGGTGGTAAAATGTTTGTAAATGTTTTGAAAGTGAAAAATGGCAAAAGTGCACACCCACAATTATTCCGAAAGTGACCGTCTCTCTTTTATTATCCAGGCCTAATTATTAATAGTGCTCCTGCCACATGGGCACCCTCACTGTTCTGATCATAACAATATTACTCAGAGTAACTAAAATATATTTACACCATTACTATACGCCAAGCACTCTGCAAAAAGCTCTGCACAGTTCATGACGTTTAACCATCTGAGGAGCTGAATTATTTGCATTTTATAGAGGCACCGAGAAGTTAAGCCACATGTCCAAGTTCAGACATGAGCAAGTAGCAGAGTCTGGATTTGAACTACATCCAGCAAGTCAGCAGCCGAAGGCGTACCTGGGCATGCCTAAGGGCAGGGTTGGCCGGCAGGGGCCTGGCAGGGACGCTGGGTGCACGGGGAGCCTTGTGGAGGGGTGGGAGCACCCGCTGAGGCGAAATGGGCTGCGAGGCGTCCAGGGCTTTGAGGGGCCTGCTGATGTCAACACTCTGACTCGGTGGCGGTCTCCGCGTGCTGGCCTGCAGGGTCAAAGCACAAAAGCCATGATGTCACGGCCTCACAATATCTGTGATGCCTGGAGGAGAGCGCAGAGCTGACCAGTCTGCCCTAGCGGGGGGGCCTGCGGTTGAGTCAGAGAAGAACAGCGAGGAGTTCCATGAGACGGGATCTATCAGCACGCCTTTAAATGTCAGCATTCTAACGGAAGCGCCCCTCTACCCCAGTCTGGGAAAGTGGGGTCAATTTCTATTTGAAATTTTAAACACTTGGCTTAATTCATTGACAAATAGGTGTAAGGCCCCTGAGAAGTGCTAACAAGGGTAGGGACCCAGACCAGGTTTTAAGGAAATTATGCAGGAGTTGTGAAAAGGATACCAGCTTAATGCATAGGAAGCTCAGAGGGGGCAAGAAAACCCCTGGGTCAGGGGAACGGAGGCTTCCAGAAGCCAGGGTGGAGGCTGGGGGCCTGCATGCAGATATCCTGTATGGTGTGCTTGTCTTCTGCAACAGATCAGAACAGAGGCTGTATGGGCCTTGGGCCTCAGGCCTGCCCTCCCTTTTTCTTTATTTCTAGAAACAACTTTATTGAGGTGTAACTGACATATGACTAATCGTACACATTTCAAGTGTATATTTGGTACATTTGGTACATTTTGACATATGTCCACACCCACGAAACCATCCCAGTAGCCGGGGTAACGAACCTCCCCATCACCCCCTTGTCTCCTGTTTCCCACCCTCCCCTGCAACTATCGATCAACTTGTCGTCACTATACAATAATTTGCATTTCCTAGAGCTTTATATAAATTGGATCAGAGCATGTGCTCCATAACTGTTTTGAGATTCATCCATGATGTTGTATATATTAATGGTCCATTCTTTCTAATTGCTGAGTGACATCCCATATGGGTAAACACACTGAAGTTTATCCTTTTACCTGTTGATGGATATTTGGGTCATTCCTCATTTTGTGTTCTTCATAATAAGGCTGTGGTTTTGGTTCCCTCAAATAAAGCTGTCCTTGCTAAGTCCCACATTTGGGGATGAAAGATGGTAAAGCTATCAGGGATGGCGGCCTCCCCTTTGGAACCCAACCCTCTTACTTTTTGGGTCTGGGAAGATAAAATAGTTATTGCCTACTGAATATGTGATAATGACCTTTTGAATAGTTTGTCATTTTTTTAATACCAACTCTGTTCCCTGCTATAGTATGGACTCTTGTCGAATGAGTCCAATATTCAGTATTCTTGTGGATACATCAAAAACAGTTGGTGGGGAAAACTGAATACCGGAGTGAACTCTAGTAATAACTCACCAGGATAGCAGGAAAGTTAAGAGACTGTAGGGAGCCGGCAGGCACTTTGGGTTAAGGATCCAGCTCCTGGAAACCAGAGGGTCAACAGAGCTTCCACACCCAAGGCTGGAGCAAAATGGGTCCGAACATGGGCTCGGTGTAAGTCGGTGTAATGTCTCCAGGATCTACTGCTACTCAAGCTCTCATTGAAAAACCCGTGCCTCCAGGCCCACACTGCCTTCCTATGCTTGCTTGAAACTTACCTTATTTGTGGTGCAGCGTGGTGGCTTCCTCATCAGGCCTTTGCTGAGGTGTGTGAGGCGAGCCTGCCCAGGCTGGGAGCCACCAGACGGCCGGGAAGGGCGTACGCACCTGCAAGACAACCCCAGACATGCTGGGCCAGGCCGTTTGCCCTCTGGCCGACTTAGCTTTTCCTAGCTTGTTCTCAGCAACCCTCAAAAAATAATTATTTTAACTCAGTATGGTAAACATGTAAAGGAAAAATTATCAAATGCTCTTACAAGATTAAAAAATAAATATTGATTTTTCCCTCCCAAAGCCACTATTCTGTTAAATTAGTTCTTGCAATCCATAGAAACGTAGCTTTGTGACACCTGGGAGGTGATTTGTATAAAGCTGGCTTTGCAGCAATGCTTTTGAAAGTACTTGATCAAAAGCTATCCCATCTGATGAAAATATTTTAACATCCTATGTCTTATAAAAAGTACTAATGTAAGGGTGAAAAAAAATAGATCATACCACACCCTTATTATTGTGTATTAAGCAGTGAGTAGTTTGAACGGAAACCAGAGAGGCAGCTAATTCAGCAGAAATTGTAAAAAATCAAAACAATTTTACTTTCGAGAAAATCTGAGCTCTTCTTTGCTAAGGAAAACAAATGAAGAAAGTGGCTTATATGCTTTCAAAGGCCATTTCTTGAAAAGAGGACCCAAACCCCAGGTACCTTAGCTTTTCAATGGTTGTTTTTTTATCCATAAATAGCAGTTGTATCAACGTCTTCCTTTTGAGATAAACCACAAACCCAGCAGCAAGAAGACACAGGATGGTCACCAGAACGCCTATCGTTACACCTTGGTTATCTGAAACAAAAGGCATTTGATCAGGGTGGGAGGCAGGTAGAATGAAATATGGGAGCATCAAACTGTGACATTTACACTGAAGTGAACTTGGAAAGAAGGAACAGAAATGAGGTGTAAATCCCTGACTGAGGTCCTGATAGAGCGGTCTTACTTCAAAGGTCGTGTTTGAGGTTCCATCCCTGTGGCCATCATTCATTTCTGACCATTCTGGAACTTGTTAAGTAGGATTATTGTCTGATACGTCTGGCCGCGGCCTTGACCACACCGGCCTCCCAAGTGTGACAGCAGCAGGGGAGTGTGGCCACAGGAAGCCATCACTCAAATCCCATCAGGATTGAAGTGGTCCCCGGAGTAAAATCTTCCCAGGCCCTATCACAGAGACGCTACTCCTGGCTCCTTCCTAATTGCTTATTTATTTTTTTTGTATTTCTTTAGACCGAGACTTTATTTCTGGACATCATTAAATTACAAGGTGAAAAAAAAAAAAGAAGAAAAAAAAACTCACAGCTGAAATGGAATACCCATGAGTTTTGTTTTGTTATGTTAGGCCTTAAAATACAGCCTTTGGGGGCAAACCCCTTTCTCTGGGAGAACGCTGTTTATTTTCTCTAAGGAAACATCTCCTTCTGTTTAGTACACAGACACTAAGACTCCTCGCGGGTGTGGGAAGAAAAGGAAAGAGCAGGCACCAGGTTGGGCTATGCCTGCAGCGATGGTCAAGGGCCATCTGGGAAGGACATTAGGGGAGGTTAGCGGAGGTTTCTGTGCAATTTCGACTTCCCCATGAATTCTTCGAGAGCACAGACTTCGATTCATTTGTCTGTCTTCCTACCAGCGATGTTCCGGGTGTGCTTCACCCGGTAGGTGCACACCATGCCTTTGAGCCTGCTGGTGACGGCAGGGCGGCCACCTCTTCCCACCTGCCTGTGTCTGGGGTGCCCGGCTGGCTGGGGGCCAGAGTGGCGGTGGCTCTGACTGGGGAAGGATGCCTTCACACGCTCTCTGTTTCCGGACTTCATATCCATTTAACAAGTCCTATCAGGGACAATCCACATGTGACAGTCTTGATTCATGTGTTGGTGTTACTGGAAAAGCATTGCTCTGGTTTCCTGGCCAAACCATCATTCTCTTCAGACTGTGAGCCAGCAATCATGGGCACTCTGGCTAGAGCTCTGCTGTCTCTTAACAAAGCTAATTAACAAGTGAGCAGCATAATTTCCAGTTTCTTAAAACCAGTCCCTAAATCTTAAGCTGATCAATTTATCCAATCCAGCACAGGGCCTCCAAACTGAACTCCATGCAGCCCTCCAGGTTGCCTGTCTCCATGAATGGCAGCGCCACCCATGAAACTGCTCAAACCAGAAACCTGAGCAGTGGGTGGGACCCCAGGGCAGTGGGTGGGACCCCAGCCCCTCCTCTCCACACCCAGAGTAAGCATGTGCCCTGCACAGCCTGCCCCACATCCACCTCTTGGAATCTTAGCATGCCATGCTGTGCTTGCTTAATGTCCCTCCACCACCTGGACAGGCAGCTGGCACATGGCAGACGCTAGAGACGTCCTTGCTGCATGAACGACTGGGCCTCAGTCAGGCGGGCATGCAGGGCCCTGGGGGGTGAGGCCCACCACACAGCTGGGCCCGCACCGCAGGGCCTGCCTCTCTGCCTGCACTTGGAGAAGGTGTGTAGCATCCTGCCTTTTGTGAAGTTGGCTATAGTGGATAGAGTTAGACTCTTCTGCTGTTTTCACTTGTTTAAAATATTCCTGCTACAATGGAGAGCTGGCAACTGTGGATTCCCCAACTTTTTGAAGCCCTAAAACCCGAGTACTGGTGGTCATGTGTGTCCACACCAGAGAGGCCCACGGTGTGCTGTCCACCTGCCGTCTTCTCCAAGTCCTCAAATGCCAGCTGGCTAACCTGAAGGTAGATGGATGGGTTCCTGCTGGATTAAAAACTAAAAGCCTGCTATTTTTGTATAACAAATGCTTAAAGCCATATTGGAATATTAAGTAGGTTGCAGCAAGAGGCCAGTCCTCAGGGCTGGGATGTCCACGAGGAGAGGGGATGCCTGGCCGGGCTGCTTCCTGCCACTGGCATGGACGCTCACTGAAAGGCAAGACCTTGTCCCTTCTGCCCTGGCTGTGGGGCCGGGCCCCAGAGAGGCCTCTCTCAGGAGCCATGTGGAGACACGTCTCTGTTTAAGCAGAGGGATGGCCGGGAATGCGCTGTCCTTTCTGACGACGCTCTCTACAGCTGTGCCTGGTAGGCAGGCCCTCCTCTCCTGAGCTCTGCGCTCGCCACCGCCCGGCCCTGCAGAGCAGTGGTATGTCTGTCGTCATGGAAACAATGGCCAAAGCCACAGATTCAACCATGCCAGTCACAGCAGGACTTGGGGACACGTGACGTCCTCTGCAGCAACATTAGCCATCATCAGAGTGTTATGGGGGCTCAGGGGAGCTCCAAGCTGTCAACACAAGTGGGCTCGGGAAATTTTTGCCTGCCCCAGCCCCCAGCCACGTCTTGTGTGGGCTCTCTACCTCTTGTTTGTCTTGCTTCTTTAATTTTTAAAGGGGCATCAGGCAGACTTGCCCCCTAACTGCCTGACCAGGGTCAGAGAAAACAGTGCTGCCCCAGGAGACCATTTCTGAAGGTCACTGAAGAGCAAAGAACCGAGGGTTCAAGCATAGCTGCTACGGCAAGTGCCTCGGGGGGTGGGCAGACTTGACTCTGTCTCAGCTGTGTGACTTTGGGCAAGTTGCATGCCTTCCCTGAGCTTCAGTCTTGTCTAAAGAAAGAACAGAGACAGGTAAGGGTCCGAAGAGCGACTGCTTCTGCAGCCCTCACATGGTCCTGCGCACCACACCTGCTCAGTGACCGAGCGGCAGCTGCCCCTTGCAGGAGCCACTCCTTTACTAAGAGGAAGTGGTCTCTCCAGTAAGCTGTAAAGGCCTTCCACCTCCCAGTTTGTGGCCCAGGACACAGAGGCCGGCCTTGGCCCAGTCCTTCGAACCCACAGGAAGCCCGGGCTCCTCTGGCAGCCCGCTGTAGGAAGGACTGGTTGAGAGGAGCACCACAGGTAAGAACCGGCAAGCTCAGCCTCAGCCAAGCAGAGGGAAGGACTCTGCAGGGTCGAGAGCACGGCGGGATGCGGGCCGCAGCCGGGTCACACTGACAGCTGGGGAGCCTCGTCTGGCTTGGAAAGATGCCCCCCAAGCAGCTCAGCGCCCACTCCCCTGGATGGGTCCCCACTAACCTGCTTGGCGGACAGGGCCACTGTCTGTGCTTCCTCCAAAGCCCAACTTGTCACAGAAGGGTGGCGCCCAGTGGGCTTCACAGTGGCAGTTCCTCCTGTTGTTACACACCTTTCAGGGAGGCAGGGTGGGGACACCAAGGGGGACAGAGCATTAGGGCACAATCCTCAATCCTCAAGGGAGACAGAGCATTAGGGCACAACCCTCCACGGGAGCACCAAAGTGAAGCAAAGGCCCTGTGGCCAGAGCTCCCGCTTGCACCCGTAGAGCCAGATGAGAGAGTCAGTGTGAGAAGAAACCCCAAACACAGCACCACACAGTGAGACCAGTGCCTGAGGCTGCAGACATAACACCTGGTAGCAGGTGCTCACTGAGCGGTGGGGATTGGGACTCACCTGCCCCCTCTACCCCTTCCTTCCTCAATCTCCATGTCCCTCTCTACAAACCCAGGAAGCCCTCTCTACCTGACCAGGATGAGACACCCTCTCCGTGGTGAGGAGGGACCCTGCTCCGGGATGCAGAATCCCAGTCCTCAGCACCATGGGCTTGGCCACCTCAGGAGCTAGGTGACCGGCGCCCACAGCAGGCCTGCAGCCAGGCCCCCTGTTTCCTGATGCCCTCTTGGCCAGCTCCAACATTCCATGCCTGAAATGCCCACGTGCCTGACCTGGGTCAGGGGATTGAATCTGCAAGTGACTGTTCCCTGGTTCCCGGTCCTGCATGGTGGGCACAGGCAACAGAGAACTGTGTCCTCGTCAAGTGAGAGGATAGCTCTGGTGCGAAAGGAAAGGGCCCCAGGCAGCAGGCAGAGGGGGCTTTGCTCTCTCCCTGGGCCCTGCACACGTCACCTGCCCTGGAGGCCAAAGCCCTCCGTGGCCCAACCAGCGTGGTTCACCTGTTTACGAAGGGTGACTGAGGGTGATCTGTTGTATCTGTTATTGTCATATGTGGAAGTTACTGAACTGCCGTGGGAACCAACCAGTGGAATGTGAGCGTGAAAGGGCATTGTTTCTGGGAAAATGAGGTTGCCTGCTTTGGGTACAAATTTATGACAGATTTGGAATGGGTGGGACAGCTGCAAACCGACCAGGAAAGCTCCACAGGACAGAGGGCGCTGCGCCAGATCACTGCTGAGCGTCCAGGTCCCCTCCACTTAGAGAAACAAACTGTCCGTCGGGGGTGACAGGCTCCACACGCTTTGTACAAGGAAGCCCGTGAGGCTCCGGTCAGCACTGCCATCCCCAAAGCCTGAGCCCCACATAGCAGTACTGCTGGAGGGGGGCCCAACACACACTTCCGGATTTTAAGGCAAAACCAAAGCTGAGCCCGTGTCTCATTTGTGAGCTTTCCCTGCTTCCACTGACTTTGTTGTTGTTGACGGATCAACCATCCGCCCCGCTCGCTTCAAATAAGACCGAATCATGACAGCCTGCGCTGAGTTGGAAAGTACATTTCTATGAAGCTACAACGGAGCAGAACTCATTACTGAGCGGCACAGTCTAGGCCAAATGAGTGTCTCGCCTCTTTTCTCAAGAATGTGGCCGCTGACGTATCCCCCCGACGCCTGTCCTAGGATTCAGGTGGGGTCCTTGCCCACACCGTCCTGCTCAGGCGCCCATCCTCAGCTGCAGTCGTGGGCCATTTCTGCAGCGTGTGGTGGGGACTGCAGCCTGCACAGCCCACTTGGAGGGGCTGCGGCGCCTGGTCTCACCAGGGTCGGACTGCGGTAAAGTTGTCACTGAAGTCGTGCTCCACCTACCCAGAAAATGGGGGCCTTTCCTCTCCAATGTGGGGATGGGACCCCAGGGATGTTGAACAGTGAGGAGGTCAAGGTCCCCAACCCAGCACTACCACCAGCTGTTTTGTAACCTTGGACATGTCACTACGTCCACTTGGGCCTTGGTTGCTTCATCAGCAAGATTATAAAGCTGCACTAGGTTGTCTCCTACAGCCATTAGAAGGAAATCTATGACCCAATGTTGACATAAAAAGACTCCATTTTATATTGACAGTCAGCTCCACTCACCACCAAGAAACCCCTCTGAGGTGGTGCTGCAATCCTTTATGGGGGCAGCACAATAGTAATTCTATGAAAATCCCCATAATCCTATATTAGAATCATTGGCGAGTGTCTGCAAACTGTAAAAATAGAATTTGGAGCATGACATCTGTATAAAAGGTTTCAGAAAAACAAATGAACCACTGGCAGGGCTAATCAAGATTAATATGATTCCATTGGAAATAATTAAGCCCATCAGGGAAAATAAATTATGTTTTAAACAATGAGAGTCCTCTTCTCAGCCTTCTTTAGTTGAAACCCATTGTATGTGATTTCAAGACCATGTGCTCAGTATGTTCTGTCTTGCTTTAATTCCGTTTGGAAGTGTTTCGGTTCAGACACCCATTCTGAATCTTGGTGGGAAGAAGAACAGCCCTTTTTGAAATGTTAATGCAAAACTCTTTAAGAAGGAAGGTTGGTCTTAAAATTAAATTGAAGATGACAAAGCCCTTTGAAAAAAAAAATCACAGAATGTTAATTTACAAGATAATTCTTGCTCGATTTGATTTTCTTTGTTAAATAAAAATCACATTTCTTATGCTACTTAAAGGTCAAAGAAAAGTACTGCCTTTAGAAGAAACTATTGAGGAGACTGCTGTATTTTAAAAACCTGATGGATTGCAAAACCCTTTGCAAATGAATTATTTAGTGCTGAGCTTACTCTGGGCCGGCTATAAAAACGCAGCTCTGCCTACTTACCCCTCTGCCGTGGCACCGCCTGGCACACTCGTGAACACCGAAGACACTTATATTTTGACATTGACGATTGAGGCAGATCTGGAGGAGGAAGAAAATACAGCGAACATCTCAGAACTTCTACAACCCATGCACACGGGGCATCTGTGTATTTAAATAGAAAAGGAAGGCTTGACGAAGACTATCTTCTTTCAGTTAATATGGACGCAGCATCACGATGCAGTTTTCACCTGACTCCCATGTGGGTCCTGACGCCTGCCTCCCAGCTCGGTGCTTTTAAAGGCTCAGATCAAGGTGAACACCGTTGAATTCTTTTATACTTGATGGCATTTTATATGGTTTCAGTCAATCCTGAAATTACGGTAACTGATTTTCTCATGATTTTTGTTCAGAGCTTACAATGAAATCCACTTATTGCAGCATTTTCCCCCCTCCATTAAAAGATAGAGGGGAGGCTGAAATGGACTAATCCTTAACCTGGGGCCTGCACAGACTCAGCGGCTCCAAGGTCGAAGGTCCAAAAATCTTTTAAAGGAGATATTGAAATATGGGAACTTTTCCAAAATACTGACTGACCAGTACTATCATCGATAACATAAACCATCAGCAGAAATGCTCAGCAGAGGAAAACAGACAGTTGCCTTGTGTTTCTCAAGACTTTGCAAGGGCAGTAATTTGCTAAATGATACTGGGCTGGTTTCTCTCTTGCAGAGAAATTTAGTCATATTTTAAAGGGGCGTGATATACTCCAGACTCAAGAGATCAGGCCCTTTATCTCCCACAAGATGTTACAAATTAGCGGAGTCAAAGGAAGAAAAGTCTAATTTTTAGACTGCAGAAACATTTTTAATCACGTAGAACCTTCCTAGGGGAAGTTCGCCATCTGACCTCAACAGCCTGTGTAAGGAGCTATGGATGCCCTTTGAGAGAGTGCTGGCCCAAGCTGCTCTGCCGGAAGGTGGGCAAGTTGGCCAAGGGGGCGGCCGCGTTCCAGCTGATAAAAGGAATTGTCTGGGATTACAATGAACACAGCCTGGCTGTGCATAGGTGCTGTTCTCCCCTCAATCCATGGGCAGTGCTGAAGATGGAACTTCCAAAGAACTAGTGTTCTGCAGAAACAGGGATCAAAGCCCATTTAATCTTGCACAAGGAGGAAAAAACCCACTGAAAAAGCCCTTGGAACGTCAGCATTCGGATGCACCTGGCCTTGGCTGTTTAGACTGCAGTTTAAAATACGGGTGTCACACTAATATCAAGGCCTGGATATCAGCTAATGAGAAAGGTCAGGGAGACACCCAGAATGTATAACACGTTTCTTGTATCTTCCTATTTCCTTAAGGATAAAGCATTTGTGGCTCAGGGTGTCTGGGCGAAAAGTGAGGGCAGACAGACAGTTCCTGCCCTGGGGACTCTGCTAAAGGAACTAAGTCTCTGTCTTTCCTTCCTGCTCTGTGGCCTCCATGCTAGCGAGTGATTTCGTAATCATTTTAAAAATTAGGTCCTAAAAAAAAGCATGTGGGGGTTGATTTGTCTTCTTTCTTAAAACATTTTATTAAACTGTTGTCATTTAGTCTGACAAGAAAGTTTGGTAAGAAAAATCAATGTGGCAGAATGTGAAAATCTCAATTTCTTTGTTCATTTTTTATTTCATTTCTAAACCTCCAAATATCTCAGTCTACTTTTCCCCCAGTGTCCAGAAGAACTCCCCTCTGGTTTTAAGCTCATTCCACCTCTTCCCCTCTCCTATTCTCTCTGAAAATACATCTGATTTCCCATTCTGTCCAGGTGAGAGCAAGGCCCCCATGTGCCGAAACCCAAGGCCGCATTTCCAGCAATGCGCTGCTGTGGTTCCTGCGAAAGTAACGTCCTGGCTGGAAACCCTCATGACACCCAAGGTGCAGAAGTGACTTACTAACACTAAAGGCCAAGCAAACAAGCTTGATTTTCCAAAATCTCCATCTAAGTGCTTGGGCCAGGATCTAGGATTTATTGACTTTTTCCTCTAGGTGCAAAGAACTGGATTCCAGGTACAACGTTCTCAGAAGCAGATTTAAGAAAATAAACCTTGTAATTCAGTTCTTGGACATTTCTCAATGGGCCCCCTTCCAGACTTATATTTATGATACAAGTGAGCATTTGGGTCTTACTTTTCCATCTGCACACTTTGTGCCAGCGAGCACAAGCCCTGGGTCTGGCATGTCATCACCCAAGTACACATGGGTTCCACGGCACAGAATCCGACCTCCTTCCTGAAGTGGGATATTCGTTTCTATGGAAACAGCATTGGTACCAATGACTGGCCGGCTGGCACCTCCTTGACACTGGATTTTTCCACACTTAGCATCCCTGGAAGGGAAAGAATAAAGAATCTCCAAAGAGGGAAGGTTTGGAAGCAGCCCTAAGTGACGTGGGAAGTTCAAAGCGATGGTGTGGTCTGCGTGCAGATGCCATACCTCAGCTCACATTTGGCAAAGGAACTCTTGGAGTCTTTGCCACAGTTGCCATAAGGGTCACCTGCAGAGTTGACTCTCTCGAAGCAGATCCCCGGGGCAGGTTTAGCACCTGAAACAGAGGCAAACAGCACTGTCACCTCCTGCAGGTATTTTTATTTTTAATATTTTTCTTTGAATAGCACTGAGCTTGCAGGTTAAGGGGAGATGTGTTCTGGATCCAGAGAAAGCACACCTGGTCGTCTTGGCTGACTCCGGATACGAGCTGGCCAGCAGGATGAAGCCTAGCATCTTCTCCTGACTCAGCCCTGAGCAGGCATGCATTTCCTAGCCCACTCCTCTTTGGGGCTGCTATCTGGGCCCAGGGCACATGCAGCCTCTCAGGAGATGAGGCCTGGCTGCGAGATCAGATGCGATTCAACACGGAAAGGAGGAGGCTGGCTGGCTGCGGGGGAAGGGGGAAGCATGCTCTCTGTAACATCCCACACAATTCCGGTGAGAAAATGCAAGCTGAAGCAGGCTCCCAGGAACCCTGATGACTAACGTGGGGGAGCAACAAAAGAGAGAGGGATGTGGCGGGAGAGAGAAAAGGTGCAGTGCAAGGACTTAGATGGCATTCTCAGCCCCAGAAAGCTCGCTATGGGAGCAAGCCCTGATTTCCATTAATGCCTATGTCTGCAAGGCAGAGGTTCCTCTGAGAGGTCACAGAGACAGAGAACCTGGCAGCCATTTTGCACAGCACAATAAGGCCCAGTAGAGAGGGATGTGGGAGCCAGAGAGCTCAGGAAATGGCCATTTTTAGCACGTCTTCAGACCAAGGAGAGAACATACACTTGCTGTTTGTGTTGCCAAAGCTTTGGAGGGCTCTCCAATCCTATGCATGGTGTTACGTGTTGAAGACTATATGAGAAATTCATGAGACTACATACCCTGTGGTGTGACCTTGGCCCGCTTTCTCTTGCGCATTGATGTCCTGTCTGGGTGTTCTTCTCATATCACCTCCACTGCCAAGATGCTAACTTCCCAGAGCCCAGCCCTGTCCCTTTCCTTCTCTGTGCCCAACTCCTGTGAGGTTCCATTCTCCTTCCAAGGTGACAACTGACGTCTCTGAGATACCAGTCTAAGGATGGGCAAGGCTCCCCTTCTCCCAGGGATCTGAAGATGTTCTTATTGACTAAAAACACCCATTTTTCTTCAGTCTGATTCCTTTTCATCAGCTGTGAGCAGACATGCTCAGTATCTCATTTAAACCAAACCAAAACAAGACAAATCAAATAACACCCTTGCAACAGGTGAGATCAGGAATGGATTCAGCAGCCGACCTCTGCAGTCAGCTACTCCAGACCCCAGTTTACTTTCCCATTCTCTGGTTTTTAAGCCTTTTTAGGGCAGCTTCCCCAAGCTCCGTTTTAAGGGCATAACTCCAAACTGGATGACTTCTCTGTCAGAAAAAGGCGAGGTCGCTGGCTCGTCAGCATCGCCTTCCTTTTCTTTTACCCCAGATTCTCACTGTTGCTCACAGTGCCGTCACACCACTTACACACTCAGCTTCTGCCAGTGGGGGATCTGTTCCTTCCACACTCGGCTCTCTTATTCTTTCCCATGTGCCTAGTGGAGTGGGGGAGGGAGAAGAGGAGCACGAGTCTCGGTGTTCAGCCTGAACTTCATACCTAAACTGATCCTCTTTGATGGTACTTTGGTCGGTTGATCAGTGGATCCAGTTGATCAAAGTGGTTTGGAAAAACTGGCATCTAGAACCACTCAGTGGCTGTCCACATGTCTGGATGGGCCCCTGTGTACTTACTGCTTGTCTGTCTGACTTTGTTTCTCCTTCCTTTCTTCCACCTACCCGTCCATCTATCTGTCCACCCATCCACCCAACCACCCTTCCACCCGTCCATCCATCCATCCCTCCATCTGTCCTCCCACCGTGTTGCAGACTTTCACCACACATGCAGATTTATCCCACTTACTCTCTGCCAGGTACTGGGGAGACCAATTTGGATAAAACTCCTGTTTGCTTTAAAATTGCAAGGAGAAACAGAGACAAATGACGGTGTCCTCTGAAGCCCAGGGGTGGGGGGTGCTATAAAGGGACCGACAGAGCAAGGAGCCCTGGGGGCTCCTGTCTTCAGCAGGGGATGCAGGGAAAAGCTCTTAGAGGAGGGGCCAGGGCCTGAGTCCCACCCCTTAATCCTACCAGAGATCCTGTAAGGTAGGTCTCATTGTCCCATTTCATGGACAAGAACTCTAGGACTTAAGAGGGTAAATATGCCGCTTAAAGCCACCTAGTTACCACGGGCAAGACCACCTGCAGGGGAAGCCCAGGCTGGCCTGGCCAGTGCTCCCGTGTTTGTCCAGGCCTCGCACGTGCTGGCTCCTGAATGGGCCTCAGGGACAGAGAGCAGGGTGAGACCTGGCCTGCACTGGCCCCTGCTGAGCAGGAAGGCCGGCCGGCGTGCAGGCCCATGAGGTCCGCCCCGAGTACAGGCAACAGCCACGACAATCCCCAGCAGGCAGCGGGTGATCCCGAGCTTAGGTAGATGGGGACGTGGTGTTCTTGCTGCCCACTGGAGGGCTGAGAAAACGACGTAATGATAAAATGGCTACACTCCTTCTTTCTCTAGTTCATAAAGCCAGGATGAAGGAAGAGCAGCAGTTTCTAGAGGATTCTAAGCTCCTGGACCTGTGGGTGGAGTAGGCACCACCCTGCCATTGCTTCTTTGATGCTACACAGGGCCTGTCACTCTTACTGTTATTAAGCGATTTACCTCCTGGGCACTTAAACACATTATGCCCCAGTTCAAATGTGTTCACTGATACATTTGCTTTCCTTATAGGGAACTATAAAGAGGGGTTTCTGAGTAGTTTCAGACGTGAGCTTGCAAATAGCTCAAAGGCAGGATCAGACAAGGTGGACTGGGTGTGCAGAAGGGTAAGAACAAATGGGAGGCAGGGAGAGAAAGAGACTGGCTTCGGCAGGATTTAAAACAAAGGGGGAGCCTGCTGTATGACCACCAAATAAAGGCGCTAAAATATGATGGGTAAGCAAGCAAAGGGATACAAACAGTATTTACACAAGCATCAAAGATCCCAAAAAACAAATGCTGGATAACTGCTTAGGAATCCAGGTTGGAACACAAAACTGGGCCTGGTCTTCCAGGTCAGGGTGTGCATGGGACTTTAAATGCTGTAAATGCCAATGGCGCAGCATGACTTAGAAAACTGGGTGCATGTACAATGCAATGACTTGTAAAGTCACTAGAGGTTATAACACAGTATTTGTGTTTCCTGATAACTCTGAAGCACTGTGCATGCCCCAGAAGGCCCCCACCACATTAAGGAGAAAGCTTGATAGCCAATTTGAAGATGTCAATTTTTAGCAATGTGGATGACCTAGTTAAGTATTTTACAATATGTTGTCAATTAACAAGGTCAAGAAACATTGAAAAGCCATGTTTTCATTAAGAACTTAAAGAGAAACTTTCCCATATCATGAAATAATATTATTCAGCTTCTTTACATTTCTCTTCAGTCTCAAGTCTTTGGTCAGCTGATCTTTGATAAAGGCACCAAGAATATGTTATGGGGAAAGGATAGTCTCTTCAATCAATGGTGCCAGGAAACCTGAAGAAAGAAATCAGATCCTTACCGTATACCACATGCTAACTCAAAATGGAGTAACAACTTAAATGTAAGACCTGAAACCGCAACATTCTAAGACAAAAACACAGGGAAAAAGCTCCTTGTCATTGGCCTTGGCAATGACTTCTTGAATACGACACCAAAACAGCCCAGGCAACACAAACATAGACTAGCGGGACGAGGTCAAATTAAAAGGCTTCTGCACAGCAAAGGGAAAAACCAACAAAATGAAAGGCAACCTACAGAATGGGGGAAAATATTTGTAAACCATACATGGAAGATAAAGGGTTAGTACCCAAATATATAGGGAATGTCTATAAGTCCATAGCAAAAAAATCCAAATAATTAGATTAAAAAAAAAATGGGCAAGTAGACATGTCTCCAAAGAAGATGTTGGACATTTATAAATGGCCAACAGGTATATGAAAAGATGTCCAGTATGGGTAGTCATCAGGGAAATGCAAATGGGATGTCACCTCACACCATTTAGGATGACTATTATCAAAATAAGGAAAGATAAATGTTGGTGAGGATGTGGAGAAAAGGGAGCCCTTGTACATTGTTGGTGGGAACATAAACTGACACAGTCATTGCAGAATACAGTATAAAGTTTCCTCAAAAAATTAAAACAGAACCACCATATGATGTAGCAATTCCACTTCTGGGTATATATCCAAAGGAATTGAAATCAGGATCTCAAAGAGATCTCTATGCCCCCACATTCACTGCAGCATTATCACAATAGCCAAGACATGGATGCAACCTAAATGTCCACTGACGGATGAAAGGCTAAGTAATGTAGTGTGTGTGCACACTAATACACATATACACACGTGCACACACAACTGATATAATAAAATATATATAATATATAACTGAATATTATTCAGCCTTAAATAAGAAGAAAAGCCTGCCATTTACAATAACACAGATGAACCTAGAGGACATTTTGCTAAGGGAAATAAGTCAGACCCAGAAAGACAATACTGCACGGTCTCACTTGCAGGTGGGACCTAAAGAAGCTGACCTCACAGAAGTGGGGAGCAGAGTGGTGGCTGCCAGGGGCTGGGGGAAAGAGGAGGTGGGAGGCCATCAGTCAGAGAGTACAAAGTCTCAGTTATGCAAAGTGACTAAGCCCTAGACCGCTAGTGTACAGCATGGTGCCTATAGTCAATAATAATGTATTGGACACTTAAAATTTTTCTAAGAGGGTAGATCTTATGGTAAGTGTTATTATCTCTCTCTCTCACACACACACACACAAATAAGAATAAAGAGGGTGGGAGGAATCTTTTGGAGGTGATGCATATATTTATAGCACAGAATGTGGTAGTTCCATGGGTATATACTTATCTCCAAACCCATCAAGTTGTATACATTAAATACGTACAGCTTTTCTATGTCAGTCATACCTCAGGAAAGTGGTTAAAAAAGTCTGTTTTCTACAGCACATCTTCTGCATTTCTA